CTCACTCCGATGCCGGCCGCCGCCCCCCCAGCTCTGCTTAGCGAGGCTGGGGCTCCGGATCAGCGCCCGCCCGGCGGACTTGAGCGCGTCCATGGCCGCTCCGGCTGCCGCCGCCAAAACTCCGTCAGGAAAAACTTTCCGCCGGGGCCGCGCGACGCGCGGACTCCGCGCTCCTCCCCCCGCGGCGCGAGCTCCGCGCCGACGTCCGACGGGGCGGGATGATGGCCGGCCAGGCCCCGCCCCCGGCCCCGCCCCCGACCGCCCTGCCTCGCCCCGCCCAGCCCGGGCTCCTGCTCTTGCTCCCCAGGGGGTCCCCACAAAGGGCGCCCCTAAGGTAGAGGGCCGAAAGCCCTAGAAGCCCCTTCTTTTCCTCCCTCTCCCAATCCCCTTATTCCTAGGATTTCTAGACAGCCCAGCTGTAAGGTACTTGGGGGCCATTTTACAGATGGTCAGACTTAGGGTCGGAGAGAAGGGTGCTGCCCAGGGCAATGGGAGGCTTAGAAGGAGAGGTGGGAGTAGTAGAACTTTGCTGGGAACCGGGCAGGACTATAAAAGTTTTCCTTAGTAAGACCAGCTGGGCATTTTACTCACCCAACAGCACCCAGGCTGCTCTCTGGCACCACCTGGGCACCTGGGCTGCCCCACCCCACCCCACTCCCCATGTAGTGATATGGCCTGGGTGTTATGCTCTAACACTGACTTGCTCTGTTACCTTAGGCAATTCCTGCCCCCCACTAGGTCTTAATCTTTATCTGTCAAAGGAGATGGGATCCTATTTCTAGTGATCCTTTCAATCTGCCGTAGGCAGGTGCTGCACGACCTTGACCCAGAGCCTCCCAAGCTTTGTAGGAGGCATTTTGAGGGGGGTCTGGATTCTAGAATTCCTCCAGCACAGATACTCTTAAGTCCAGGATTTAGAATTCTCTCTAGGATCCCATACCCTCCCGTTAGGCTTTGCAGTCAAAAGAGCACATGCCTCCGTGCCACAGTCTGGCTTCTTCTAGATGGGGAGCTTCGGCAAGGTGAATTTCAGCCTCTAGGATTGCTGCTAGCTCAGAAGACAGGAGTCCTGTTCTTGTGTTGGGGGAAAGATGGGGTTGTGCTGTCCCCAGCTGGGTAGTGAGGTCCCACTGACATTCCTTTCTCGGTTTATAAACTAAGTGCTTTTTCGGCCATCTGTCCTTTGCTCCTCCAAAACCCTGCAGCCAGCAATACACCCACTTTACAGATAAGATTCCAAGGTCTGGGAGAGAAGCACTCAAGAAGGGTCTCTGCAAGCCAGAGATTGGGATCACACTCAAACCCAGGCTTGTAGGCCAGAGTGGAATGCTGGGGATTTGAACCTGATTTCCTTTTTTTGGTGGTTGTGAACTCACCTTTCTGAGCCTCATCTGTAAAAGCAACAACACCTATTCCACCAGGCTGTCTATCAGAATTAAAAACATGAGTTCTTGAGTTGGAAAGGCAGAGAGCAGTCCTTGAGAACTCGCCTATGAAGTTGCCTTCTCCAGAAAGCCTTCCCTGACTGCCACCCATCTGTTAGGCTTCTGCCTTTGGGATCTCACAGACCTGAGCTCTCAGCATTGTGAGTGTTGCTGCTGCCTATTTCTACTCTGATTGCCTCCACTAGACTTTGGGTCCTTCAAGGGCAATAAGTTTTTCTGATTCATTTCTGAACACCTAGCAAGGGGTCCAAATGGAGTTGGAATATAGTCAATGTTCCTTTCCTCCCGCCCTCCCTCTCTCTAGCTTTTTACCATATGAGGCTGTCTTCTCCCACCAAGGGCTGTGGTGATGCGTAGGTAGGTCCTCAGGGCTGAGCCCCCCAGCTCTCTTACCCTGAGCCTTCTGGGTCCTGGGGCAGTAGAGAGAGAGCATTCTGGAGCCCGAAGGAAAAGCAATCACCCAAGGCTGGCAGGTGAAGGGCAGCTGGTGGTGTCCGGCTGGCAGGGGGCACCATATGGGCCTAGTGAGCAGGCGGGCCTGGGAACGCTGAGCCTGCAGTGAAGGCTGTTTCCAGGCCCATCACATCGTCCCGGAGGTGACTTGCTGGGAGCTGTCAGCCATGCGTCCCCCACAGAGGGGCAGCCTGCCTGTGCCCCTTCTGCCAATCCAGGAACAGAAGCAGAAACAGAAGGTCAGAGCTGCAAGGGGCCTCCTCTGAGGTCACCATGTGCAAAGCCTCCTTTCACAGGTGAGGAGCCTGAGGCCCAGGGAAGGGCAGGGACTTGCCCAAGGTCACACAGCGAGCCAGGACAGGGAGCCAAATCTCTTGCTTCCCATCTTGGATGCTTATAAAAACAGAGAGAGAGCAGAGAAATCTTGAAAATGCACCAGTATTCAAGGAAGCGTTTTAAGGTGATTTTTTTTTCTTTTCTCTCTCTCTTTTTTTCTCTCATCTGATCTAACTTTGTAAAAAAAATTTTGCAATGATCATATAGCCTTTAGTAATCAGAAAGGAAAATAAAAGAGAGGGAGAAGCTACCTCTGGTTATAACTGGCTTTTGTCTTTAGGAAAATGGTGCCAGAATTGTAATTTTACTGTTTTCTCCCCCACGGGACCCTCATGAGACCCCAGTGAGATAGTGGGTGCCAGCAGGTTGGGAGGGCTCTCGGCTTCTCTCCAGCTATCACTTGGGCTTGTAGCGGGACCAAGACAGAAACCTAGCCTAGGACCAAGAGCCCTGATTTCCTCAAGCGATCTGTCCTCCTTACTTGCCTGAGCCAGTCCCTTTACCTGGGTTGGCCTTAGTTTTTCCATCTGTAAAATGGGAGTTTTTACAGCAGAGTATGTTTTCTTGCCCCCCACCAGCAGAGCACAGGGCTTAAACACGTGGTTACTGGAGCCCGAGATCCTGTCTCCCCTACTCCTTTACTTCATGACCTTAGGTTGGTCACTTAAATTCCACAGACCTCAGTTTCCTCATCTGTAAAATGGGGATTATATGTCATGGATGGTTGCAAGAGTTAAAAGAGTTAACGTTTGGAACATGTTTAGAATTATGCCTGGCCTATAATAAGTGCCATATATATATATATATATTGCATATTTTAATAAAACTAGAATCACTTTTCTGACTGGATGAACAGTAAAGGTGGAATGGCTATTATTATCATAATTCTTGACTGGCCCTCAGGGAAGGGAGCTCTCTTGCGATTGGAACCAGACTGGCCCAGTCTGAGCTGCGGGTAGTCCAGCCTCCCCCAGAGTTCCCACCCCCACACCCGGCTGCTCAGCATTCTCCCAGGGAATCAGAGGGAACCTGGGTTACTGGTGAGTCAGAAGCCCAGGGATTACTGCTTAGACTTGACCTTTTACCTGACCCACAGACCTCTCCTGCCTTCTGTATCCCATTGATCCAACTGCTCCAACCAGTTGCTTCTGAACCCTTCCCTCCTCAGACCCTTCCCATGCTGCTTCCTCTTCCAGAAACATCCAGCCAGATTGCCTCCTCAGCTTTCCCAGACTACCCACCTTTGCCCCAAAGATCTAGCTGGCTCCTCCCTAATACCCAGTCACAGCTACCTACACAATTATCTTCCCTGGCAAACAACGACAACAACTGTTTGACCTTGGAGTTCTACATATTTGGGCCCTGAAACCAAATCCTCCGTCTATATGTATGCAATCTTAGCCAACTGGGCTTCAGTTTCCCCATCTGTACAGTGGGCATAATACCTGCTTTAGAGAGCTTTGTAAGGCTTCTGTCGGATAATACGGGGGGAAATGCTTGACTTAGTGCCTGCCAAGTGGCAAGTGCTCAGTAAATGGTAAGTCTGGCTACATTCATGTTTTATGGTTCTTGGTGAACCTGTTTACCTCCTCCAGCAGCTGAGCATGCCCCAAGCATGGGATCTGGGAATCATCCTTCACCCCAGGGTTCCCTGGAGCAGCTGACCAGTGCCTGGCAGCGAGGAAGTGCCCAGTACACATCCAGGGACTCCACTTAAGTTCTGTCCTCTGGTTCTCAGCATGTGCCCAGCAAGCAGGCGACCCCTCTGCAGCTGGAGAAGCAGCACCTAAAGGGGCTGGGGAAAGTGCTCCTGAGGGGTCCCTACCCACGCAGACTGCCCACCTGGGTAGGACCAGTAGCTGTCTCCTGCTTCCACAGGGAACTCTTTGCTTATGGAGCTGCTGAGCTAATGAAGAATGACAAAGCACCATGTAATTGCCAGCAATTGATGAGTCCCCTGCCTCTTCCTGCCCCTCCTTCCCTTTGCCCTCCTTGGCCCTGTCTGGCCTGGGGGCCTGGCCCAGAGGCAGGCAGAGTGGCAAAATGGAGCGCAGACTAGTATCAGGAGACCTGGAGGCTGGCTGCTTCTGCCACCCTCTGGCGTGGGACCCTGGCCTCCATTACGTCGGCTCCATTTCCCCATCTGCAGGGCTCCTGACCTTGTGTTAAGAGCAGGGACAAGGCTACGGGGCCAGGCCAAGGGGCTCTGCCGAGGGACTGGGCTGCACCTGCCAGGTGGGTTGAGGCAGATAGGCCTGGGTTTAAGTCTAGCCCCGCCTCTCACCTGCTGTGTGATCCTGGGCAGGCTGCTTACCTTCTCTGAACAACAGATTCCTCGTCATCAAAATGGGATTTGTTTGATAGCACTTAGCTCTTACTAGGAGAACCCTCATTTGTCCTAGACGTGTGCCTGTAACAGAGACTCTCTGGACAAGCGCATCTCTATCAAAGTGAACACAGAAATTAAGGGTTGAAAACTTGTAGTGCAATTTGATTGAGCAATTGTGTCTTGAATGTCATAATAAAAAAAAAGGCTTGTATTTTTTTCATTTTATTTTTTAAGTAATTCATTTTCCTTGTATTTTATAAAAGTATTGGTCTGTGACAGCTTAGAAATTTTTTTTAAAATGGTCCTTCTCCACGGATGGTTTGAGAAGCATTGCTTTAGAGAACCTTGTAAAATAGACGTGGTTAACAATCTCGCCACATTTTCATAGTTCTAGGGTGTAATTTCCAGGGACCTTCCACTTCTGTGGCTCCCAAGCCTTCAGGATCAAGACCATAGCCTGGCTTTCAAGGTCCTCCTTACTAAAGTCCCAACTTGCCTTCTCATCTTGCCTCCTTCCCCATGACACAACCTTGTAATACAACTCTGTGCTCTCCCCCCGCCTCCTCGCCTCCTGAACCTCTCATGCCATC